GTAGGAAAAAAGGTAAAATTCAAGTGAACAGAATGTCATAATGCAAACATAGAAGCACAGAAAATTTTAGGCACTTGAACGACCGTACCTTCTTCCCCTTTACATCTTGTACACTTAAAGCTGTTGACAACTCTTGCAAAGTTCTTTTGAAGCTTCCACCCTGTAGCAGTAGCAGCAGCATAATTATGTGCATGTCACTGCAAAATGGATCTCATAAGCATGAGGCTAGCTCATGGAACAGAAGATACATATATAAAGACACGTATCTATATAAATAAAGCCATTTGCCACTCATGTATTGTTTACATCTGCCTAAATAGATTCTGTTCTCTGTAAGACTGGGCTCCACTAGTACCTTGCATTGTTAAATTATCTGCACGATTATTTCAGGTACCAGGATCCAAGAAATAAAGACTCCAGGATTATGACCTTTGTAATACCTCCTAATGATGGTTATGGATTTTAATTTGAATTAGTAAGGTGATTGATCAGTGGGGTACAGGAGTGGCACGCCGGTGAGATTATTGTGGCAGGACCTAGTTCTCAGCTTTACTTTTTGGGAGACTTTTACTAGATATGAGAAACTGTATTGCTTTCCACTCGGCTCAGTAGAGTTTCTTTTGCAAATGTCTTGTTCAGGAATATAATAAAATCTTTGATTCTGTGCCAATTAACACTGCAGAAATAATGGGTTTTAGCTACTATTTTCATGCTATCCAAATGCTTTAGGAGTACCCTATTACCTACCATTTGTAGAAGGGTGGAGTGGAGGAGTGGTTCGTTTTTTTGGAGGTTGTTTTTTGCTTTGTTTTGCTTTTGTCCTTCTATGCATCAAAGCCCATAAAGGCTTCTTTACTGTTATCCCTTGCTGCTGACTTCAAACCACATCTGGGCTTTAAGACTGGTGGGAAGCCACAGAAAAAAGTCAATACTAAGTAGCTTTATTCTACATTTCCTGATGTTGCTCTTGCTAAAAATATCTTAAGTCTGAAAAAAAAATCAATAAACACAATTTTTATCATCACGGCTTTGAGAGCCATGCTCCAAAAAAACCCTGAAAAGCAATTGGCTCCACTTTATGCCAGACACAGAGACTAGAGCTGACCATCCTCATCAACTCATGTGACAAGAAAACTGAACACCACGGTGAATTAAACCCCCACTTTTCTCTTCTGGGAGCTTAAAATGAGTCCATCTGGTATATATTTAGCAAGGACACAGGACAAAACAAGCATAGAGCTAGGATTTTACTCCTATTCCAGCGTTCATTGCACTGTGATAGCTATTGTTTGCCAGTCTGTAAGGAGGTAATTCACTTCCAAGTCAGTTCAATTTCACAGGATTTTTGCCATTAGCTTCAACAAGATTTGGGTTCTTTAGCTCCTTCAGGTTTTTTTCTCTTTATATCTCTTGATCCTCATTCTCCAGTCTGCCTTCCTGCTTTATAGCTTTCACAGAGACTGGATTCCAGTTTCACAAATTTGTTTTTCTCTTTCTGAATAGGATAGAATTTTTTCCAATTCTCAGTATGGACATAAAATGTAATGGGATCCTCATTTCATGGTATCATCTCAAATCTTTGTTTCTGTGATCCACAATTCAGTGGCTTGATAAAAAGAAATAACTTTCCTAATCTTTAAATGTTTCACTGTCATAGCACAATAGTGCATTGGCTTTTGTGAAGAACATATTTATAGGTAACAGAAAAATCATCACACACAATGACAAAAAAATAAAGAAAATCAAACTGGGGCAAACAGTTGACAGTCAGATCCACAGTTGTTGCCAATTTTAAAGATTCATCTTGTAACTTAAATCTTGAAATTTTCAGTTAGCTCGATACAAGATGAAGATGTGGAAGGGCATGTGCAGTCAGGATGATGTACATAGCAACGCGAGGAGTAACTCATGCGTGGGTAAAACTCAGACATCCATAAACATGTGTGCCTTTTAGCTGAGTGTTTGGAACAGACTCTCAGTTCTCAAACTTAATCTCAGCAAATGCAGAACTTTATGCACATGAAAATCTGCATTTGCAGATAGCAGTACCTTCCTGTGCACACATTAAACATATCATAATACTTCTCTTATACTTAAGCAGTATCACATTAATTTACAAAGAATTTTCATCTGTAACATAAGCAAAACCAACATATTAAAACATTTTCTCCACTTATAAGTGGATCCTTTAATCAGAAGGTTTCTCTTAAGGAATGTAGTATTTTTAATAGATGGTTCTGTTGTTGACAGTAAAGAGTTCTTTAAAAACGTATTGCAGAATAAATGTCACATTAGGCAGATACTACATCTTTGCCACAGAAGCTTTCTTCCTTAAGTTTATTCAAGGAAGACAATGATAGAAAACTAAAGTAGAAAATTTTAAGAGTAACTAATTGTGTAAAATTAACTAGGCTGGTATTTTCAAAAAATAGCTGGTTCTTCAACGTAAGAAACAAGATGGCAGACAGGTGGTCAATCATATTTGCAGGATTTGAGGAAAATTCTGCATTTGTTTAGGATTTGTGATCAGTTACAGCTAAAATTTTTGCAAATACAGATCTAGAGTATATTTTTATCAATCTAAAATAAAACCACTTTTGTAATTTATGCTTCAAAAGAGGTAGTCTTTGGAAAATAATTGGATATATAACGCTAAAACCTGTGCAAAGCATTTTCTAAAATGCTGCAATTCTGATTCTTTTGAATATTTCACAGTATCCCAATAAATATAATTTTACTTTGAGTAAAGTCAAGTATTTAACAGTAACTCATACAGGATTTCACAGAACCACTACAGGAAAAATCCAGCTTCTACATCCATTATATTAATTCAGCACACAAATGCAATGGATTTTCTAGTACAGTTCTTGTCTTCTTTGGCTATGCAGTGTAATCCAAACCTCTGAAAACTACTTTCTTCTGTTATTTTTGCTTTCTAATCATTCATTAAGTCTTCATATAAAGTAGCAATGGGTAAATGACCTAGTTTTACTGTACCTGAATGCCAAAGACCAAGTGTGTATCAAAACTGATTAAGAGGAGTTATAATTTTAAGATTAAGCTGTTGCTTATTTTATCTTCATTATGGGGTTTTTGGTAAGACCACGATGCATTGAAAACCCAGCATGGGTAAAAGAACTCTGTGACAACTGCTGTGATGATACTCAAGATACTGCCTCAAGATACTGCTGAGCACAACTGAATGCGATGACAAAACAATCTGAATGACTTCTGAGTGAACACCACCAAACACATTTATAATAACTCTTAAGAAAAAACCCCCAAACATTAAGCAAGATTTCCCACTTACCATTGTTTGAGGTCAGAAGTTCAGCTAGAGTCTTGATTTCTAGTGAAGCTATGCAGATGGACATGGACATCACCTGGGGATCTGACAGGTGGTTTCCAGTAGGTCATCGAGCCAGTAAAGAATGAAGCGAGTACCTTTTATTTCAGCATGCTGCGCCAGTGTTCTGGACAGACTTACCAAACACAGGTCTGTAAACCACAGCTGCAACTACACCCCAGTTTTGTGATGCACCACTACACCTCTGGCAGCGGTGTGAGATTTTGTGGCAAGTGGGTGACCCGCTCAGTGACCTTGCCTTGAGTTCCACCTCGCTCCCCGCACCCTGCTCAGGCAATGGTTTGGTCTGAAACCATGAGACCACTCTCAGTGCCAGGAAAGACAATTGTCAGCTGAAGCAGCCTGTGTCCATCCAAGTAACCTCTCCTGCCTCCTCCCAGGAAAAGGTGCAGGCCAGATGGTTGTCTCCTGCGGCACTGTCTGGCCTATGGGCTCCTGTCTGGATAGGGTTGGGGCTCCAATGCATGTTGGTCTGAACTTGGGCAAGAGGAATGAACACACTGACACCCTCAACCCAAGCAATATATTCTGCAATCTTAATATCTCCTTCAAAGCTCCAATTAAAAAAAAAATATAAAATTATACTCGAGGTTTATGTCCAATTAAGTTGTGAAGGCTCTAGCACTCTTCCGTGGCAAGATGCTTGGTGCTTTAGGACACTGCAGAACCTTGGGATCGAGCTCTGGACTGCCTAAAGCTCTTGGGAAAGGAGAACTATGGCAATCAAAAAGATAAGAAGCTAAAAGGTTCTGGTGAATAAAAGATATAGTGGCTTTTTACAGAATGTGTTGGCTATCTTTTTTTTTTTAAAAAATGGGATGATAGGGGTAGGGTAAGGAAGGGGAAAAAAATCAGGTGATTAGTAAGAGTACAGCATTACAAAAATGCAAGAGCAGTAAAGGGATCATCACCTACTTGATCATGATCCACAGCAGGACTCTGCCAACCACAGAATGGCCACAGTGCAGGAGGACAGCAGGCACACAAGAAAACTTAAATTTCTGCAGGCCCCAACAAACATATGACTCATCATATTCATTCCCTTCACATATTTGGATCTTATTTCCTTTGTAACAAATGTGTCTCACCCCTGAGGTGAATGCTTTTGTTGGTACAGATTTTCTTCATCAGCTCTCTCTGGAAATTGGCAGGCTAAGAGACATTTTTGTTATCACAGTCCATGAAGCACCCAGAAATCAGATCTTTAAGGCAATCAATTGTAATTACGTAAAATCTCAGGCTGTATCCAGCTCTCCCACTTTGTTCATGCTACTGTAACTACATGATTTCAGTGGGAAAGATTCTGCCTCTTATTAACAGAAATAATATCAGAGCACTAAAATTATGTTTCAGGAAAAACAAGAAACTACACGACAAAGTTATTGTATTTGAGAACATTTTTAATAAATAATGTGACAAAAATTACTTTTCTGATTATTGGATCCTCAGTATGCAAAATTATGGCTAAAATATGAGGTTTCTTACATGAACATAATGAAAACATTAATCACATGGATTGTTCCTTTAGTACTCCACACCCTTTCTATGGAACCTTTTTTTAAAATTTAGCTAAATGAAAAATTTCAGTCCTCGGTAAACACCAAAACACTTTTTTTTTCTTTTTTTTTTTTTTTCATTGGGGCTAGTCCTGATAGCTGTCAATAAACAAACACACATTTTTCCATTAGCACCAATGACAAAGAAATTTTATAATTACAAAAAAGATCATAAACTCTACAGACAGAGGACATCATTTGGCAAATTCAATGCAACTAATGCCTCTATTTCATTTTTAATGATAATCCAATGTTGGGAGAGGCCACAGCAAAACTGGTAATTTTCTGTAAGTCCAGGAAAAGTGAGAAGTGTTTTGATTATGGCCCACTTTTAGGTTTGTTACTTTACTGTCTGTCATCATTCAAATATTCCAAATACAAACATAGAGCATTAACAAAAAGATGAAAAATATCCCAAACAAATGCTTAACATTTTCAATACGACAAAAAAAAAGGTTAATAGTTACAATGGTTTACAAACAAAGTTTAGTGATTGTGCTTTTAAAACCAAAAAAAAAAAAAAGATAAGCAGTGCATTACAAAAAAATTAATCGCCAAGATCAAACAAAACTTCTTTAAGTGGCACTTCTTCAAGGTGAATTGACACAAGTAGAGGTCTGAGATTTGGGCCAGTAGCAGTTAATGATATTACCCAATCATTATTAAAAATGTCCATTTATTTTCCTGCTCATTTTCATAAAGCACTGTTGAAGCTGAAGATCAGAAAAAGTTTCAGATAAACTAGCTCACGCCACGATTAGGCAAATAGCAACGATATTGGCTTACCTCCTGCCTATCCCGAAGGACATTTTTAATAAGAATGTAGTTAATGATGAAAATGGAAAGACAAATCAAAGTACCACAGGGGATTTAAAATGAGTACATATTTACAATAAGAGCCATCTCATCCCAAATTAATTTTACTTGAATTTGTGAAACTGTATCACCTAACTGTATCTGCAAAAGGTTAGCAAGAGACTGGCAGAAAACAAGACATGTGGTCTGTACTGAAATTGTGAGATACCGTTTGCGCTGACTGCAGACTACAGTGAAACCCACAGAATAAAAGACTGTTCTGCACGATGTTCACTTTGGGGATCTTTTTAATCGACGTTGTATTACTTGCAACATTATCCACTGGCTCACTGGTGTACCAGCAGGGCACCAAGCACCGCCTCGCTGGGGGGAAACCTCGGGATCCCAGGCTCTGGAACCCCCTTCTGTTCTAATCCTGAAGCAGCCGTTGGCCCGAGTACCATGAAGAGCAGCTCACCTGCCTTCCCGGGCAGCCGAGGTGATGCGCTTAGCGTTACGGAATGGGCAAAGGCCGTTCCTCATAAGGAGGGTTTACAAAGAAAGAGTAAAATAAAAACTAGTGTTCTGACGGCGTGAAGAAAAACGAAAAATTGTACACTCTGATTGCACTGAACATTATTTCTGGCGTCAAACATCATCAGACTTGAGGCATCTTAAGTGATTTTTTTTTTCTGATTTCATATTAAAAGCCTGCTACAGTACATGTCGTTGTCTTCAGCTTTCTGTTTCCTGTATTAAAAAAAAGACATAAGTGACCACATGTTAGATTTTGTTATTTAAAATTTGCTCACATACTTTTTAGAGATCTGCTGTCTTTAAATAATAATTACTACTTTTAATTACGTGCAGCAACGTGACTGCATGTTGGACAGCCTTTCTACAATCTGGATTTAAATTGAATTAGTATCAGGCAGAAAAAAAAGAAGAAAAAAAATCGTGCCTTAATATTTAATAAAATTTAGAATGATAAACCGTCAAAAAAATGTGAAAGGCAATGTCAAGGTGTTCACAGAAGCTCTCGTTCTTTATTTTCACTTTTGAAAGAATGTGGATAATGTAAGTGGCCCAATTAAATACTGTACTTCTGAATGTTCTATTCCATAGGTTTTAGTGTGGTGACAGTTATACTGTGCTACATATTACTTGGTTTTGGCACATTCATGAAGTTTCTTTTCTTAGATTGGGCATAACAGATAAATGTACTAATTTTTCTGAAGATAAACATTTCTGGTTCAAAAGTGTTTTTTTTCCTGGCATCTGCCTCAGCACAGAAAATAGCCTCATTCCAGTTATCTTCAGCAGTGCAACTGCAGTTACCTCCATCTCTTCTTCTTCCTCTTCTCCTTGTTCATATGCTGCCAGTACTTGCATTTCCGCAACATTCCTTCGGGCTATATTTGCTTGATCTGCCCTCTGTCTGCCTCCTGAGCCTCTTGACGACATTGAGCTGGAGGAGCTGGGATCTCTAGGATTATTTGATGTTGGAAAGGTTGGTCTAGAATATGGCAGGATGTCCTCTGTATAATTAAATACACACACAGTTATGTTTATAAGCCCAGAGATAATGTGATCCTAAAATTTCCACATGCAGTTGATTTATTTTACTTTTTATGATCCTCAGTAGGTTTAAAGTGATGCCTTACAGGAATATGAAATACACTGTTTCCATAATAGCATTACAGAAGCTTTCTTGAGGAAATTTATAGTATTCACGTGGTAGCATTCACCACAGAAAAACTAATTCATGATTACTGTCCACTTCGTTTCAATTTATGATCCCTGCTCTATGTTCTACAGGAAAATTAAGAAAAAACCCACCCCTTGTAGTATATTTTCACTATGACTTGGAGAAAATGAGAATACATGCATGATACTCACAGGAAGCTCATTCCATCTAAATATTAGAAACTGTATTTCTCAGAGTGAGTTTGAAACAAAATTGGTCAGCATGTTCTAAAATTTCAGCACCATCCTCTAAGGTAACCTTCTAATAACTTTCCTCTATAGCAATCCACTGAAACCAACCTCCTACTAATGTGCCCAGTTAACCAACATACAACCCAGTCACCCCTGACACTGACCCTGGGTACCTGTAGGGAGAAAGGACTGGGCATTTGTATGTTGAAAGTCTCAGTGAACATTTGACAAATTCCATTAACCACGTTCCATTAATTAGTAATCTTACAACTTCCATATATAAGAAATTACATTGATCAGGTCTGATCCATATAATGCCACGGTAGCTAGTATTTATAATTAATGCATCATTACTGTGGCTTTCTTACTTTTTAAATAGGACCAAGTATCATCCTGTCCCTTTTCTTTCTATTTTACCTTAATGTGACCTATATTAGCAACGTGTCCTATATTAGCACTGTGTCCTTACAATAAATGGTCACATTTCAGCAGATCTAACTTCACTCACACCAGTGGTGTGAGAGACCTGAGCAGAGCTGGCCTGTTCCCCGTGATCAACACGCAACACTTCAGGAAACCAGAGCATGCAAAATAACCTTGAAGAAGATGAGTTTTTGCTGGTGTGCCTTCTCGTTTTGGTGCTTTATTTCCTCGCAGTTTCCCATCGTTTTGCTGGTCCTGTGACTCTCTCCGCTCTCCTGAATTTGTTCGCACGTCCGAGTGCTGTCTCCCATCCACCCCGTCCCTCCCCTTGTAGCTCGCTCCTTTCCTTTCTGCAGATCTGTCTGTCCTCGCTTCTATAGAAGCAAGTTTTGGCAACATGACTGGCCGCACCTCCAGCTGCGATTTGGACTGGGCGGTTGGTGATTTTATAGCTGGAGGTGGCACAGGAGGGGGTGGCAAGTCTACAAAGTTGAAAAAATAATAATTACGATGACATCATACATTAGTGAAATTAAGAAATAATATTTAACTTGAAGTGAAGAAACAGATGCCCTGTGTACTTTCAGCCCCCCCTCTGCCCTTCTCCCTCCACCTCACAACCTTTTATGTTACTCTTACAACTGCTGATGCATATGTTTTCAAAGCTTGAGCTTTAAAAAGGTGAAGTAAAGACCTCTCACTGCCTTTTCAAATCACAATATTTTCTTTAACATCATTTCACAAAGCTGTAATAAACATTAGGCAGTGGGGTATTAATATATCAGTTACGGATATCAACAATGACTTACAGATACAAACATATCTTTGCTGATATTTATCGTTTTTGCTAAGTCCATACAACAATGCAGCAGCTTGTGCTAGAGCTGCTCAAGGTCTTCAGTGTACTGAGCATCAAAGCAAATTGGCTGGGGTGTAAGAACGTGTATCGCATGAACTGCTGACATATGTAAGGGCAAAATAAATTAATTCCTTCAAAATAATAGCTTAATCTAACATATATATCCCTGATGTCTGTGGGTCCGTCATGAGATATAAAAAAAATTCCATGCTCAGTCGACAAAGTAACAAGCTCTCAGGGAGAAAAAAGGAAGGAAAAAAGATACATAAGAGTTATGAATTTGTCTCCTCAAATTAGCTTACGGGTTCTAAAGTTCTGTGTATTTTTAAATAGTATTCATAAAGCTCAAAAGTTTTGCTTCACTATTTTTTTTATTCCTGCATTAAGAATTAAAACTAGGATGTGTAAACTGCTCATCAGGATACAATAGTGGTCTATGAAATAAAAAGTCAAACAAGGAAGCAACAATACAAAAGCGGTTCACAACAAACCTGTACAAACAAATAACATGCATATAAGAACAGGTTAAAAAAAAGTGAGATATGAAAGAAGTTTCTGAGGTTAATATTCTCAAATGAGATTGCTAAAAAAGAAAATAATAGCACTTCAGCATTTTGTAATAGTGTAGATTTTTTCTATTTCCACAAAATCCTGGAGCAGCTGTTTTTTTCAAATACCATCACTATATATATAGTTAATTCACAGGGTAATCAAGAGAACATTTCAACTGAAAAATCAACTAAATTGGGCCAAGAATAAAGGTAGTACTCCCAAATAAGAAAAAAATAGGTATTTAACATATATATATATAAACTCAGATATGGCAGATGCCAAACATTTTCAAGAGGTTTTCCACTGACACATAGCACAGGTGACTCGATCTAGCCTGGTGGAAAGATGTAGCAATGCAGAATTCAGTGCTCTGTCCATGTATTGTCTTGGACAGAGTATTGTCCACGTTAAGCTGGTGACATAACTTGGAATTGCCCTCGACTTGTTTTAACTAAGACTGAACATTTTGTCTGGACTGGGATGATAAGGAAGAAAGATGTTGTAAAGTACATTTCCTAAGGTTGGACATACTTCAGGTAAATGAGATCTGTAACATCACTTCTGCTTATTAACTCCACCGTCTTGGTAAAAACACAAAAGAAAGAAAAAATAACCAACAACCAAGCAACTGAGAAAACTTCTCTTTGTTCTTATTTATGGCTTGAATAAGGGACCAAATCCATTTAACAAGAATGGATTCTGTTCCTCTTAGCTAAGGACAAGTTGGACAACCAGCCTTATATCCCTTGCAAGTTGTGTAAAGGCTGTTTGTTTTTTCCAAGTCTGGCAGTTTGGGGAATGTCAGTTTTAGGGAGTAGCTAAAGATAAACAACTGACTACTGAAGACTTAATTTTAAGTATCTACTTAACTCCCACCATTTGCTAGTATCTTTTAAGATATCATTTTCAAAACTTAAGAAGGCATAATGTAAATTAGCTGGAAGCTAATTCAATCACTAAGTGGCTAGATCAAAATAGTTTTATTTATTGAATGGGAACTATTAGACTATAAAGTAAGAAGAAAGGCAGACCTGTGGACAATGGCATGGACTTGTTTATCGAAGGGAACTAAAACTGTAAAATGGAAAGGCAACTTCTGATCCAGTAAGATATGAAACATAACACATTTTGGCAAAAAAATACAAAATGAGTTATGTTACATTCCTCTGTTATCCATAACTGTTTAAACGTGGGTTACAGAGATAACCTCTGTCCAATACACAGCCTTAGCAAAGAAATTCTGCAATTCCAGACCTCAGAGTAGCATTTGGACTACCTCCTCTAAAAATGCTCTGTGAGCTCCAGTCAAAGATCGAACCAAACCACTTTCCCTGTGCTGCCCAGCCTTGTATAGATGCTTCAATCATTATGTGCCCACAACTTTGGATAGTTGGATCACAAGGCTCTTAAGTGTCAACATGTGCTCCAAAAAATAGCAGTCTGAAGAAGTATATAACCTCTTCTAATTCAACAGCTAGGGGAAAAGTCTGCTCAAGTCATTAGTGTCCTGTGACATGTTCCTTGAAAGTGCAGAACATCAGACCATGTCAGATCCAGACCAAAGCCTATCAAGCACAAGAACTGTTCTTCAAAAGCAAGGCTGGTGAAAGTTTCCACCTTTTGCAGATAAGTAAGTAAGATAGTAAGATAAGTAAGGTAAGAACCTAAGATAAACTCTGCATTAGTCTGTGGAGATTAAAACTGTATTTTCCTTTCTGAGAAAAACATCCTTCTCATAATATGTCTTCTCTCAGAAAAGAACATACTGAATATCCGTAAATATCCCTTCTGTCAAGCCTGATGATGTAATGGGCGTGTAGATAATTAACATCAGCCTTTTCAGTCACCCTTGGAGCCCGTCTCCAGCAGTTGTGGCACAGCAGTGCACTGGCCAAATACCAAAGGGAAGGATAGCATCTTCACTGTAGCCTATAAAATACAGCTTGGAACAAACTGTTCTATTCAAGAATTCTGTCCAGCTACACAAGACAAAGAACAAAGTGGTGTTAAATCTTGACTATGGAAAAGAAAGACGCATTGATATAATAAAGTTGATACATAAAAAAATGCAGTAGCTCTGTGGTACAGTAATAACTAAAGAAAAGTGATATTTTCTTTTGAGAACATTTTTGCAACCTGCAGGGAAACTATAAAAATCTTCATTATAACACAGTACTCCTCACTGAGAAGAATCCTTTACAGAGGAAAAAAAACCCCACAACTTTTCAGAGGTCAACACTATTACACCCCTGTGGTATTTATTTTAACAGCTCAGATCACAGAGAAAATCCAGATTCAATCTGCCTTCTCTAGTACAAACTGGCACACTTCTTTTTAAAAGCAAAATGCAAGCTTCCACTGTAAGGAATAAAAAATAAATCACAAACCAACATCAAACCAATATAAAGAACTCAGAGGTATTTGTTAAAGGTCAGCTGTGCTCACATGTTTCATTCATGCCTATGTATTACTGTTGTACCGCTTCCCACGTAACTCCATTAATGGATGCCATTTCATAGCAAGCTCTACACAGGAAGCCCTTCCATATATGTCTTTTGAAAGCATTTTCTAAATGAGAACATATACAAGAATCCTGGCATAAGCACACCAGTGGGGAAGAATAATCTGCTAAGTTAGTTTATTACTGAATTGGAAAAGACACAAGTAAGCACAAAAAGAGGAACTGTAAGTAGTGACAAATGAGGGAGGGAGGCCTGGTTAGGCAACGCTCTCTTTTAAGCTCTATCAGGCTGTAGATTTCTCCAGTCAAGCCCTGAAGAAAACAGCAGAGTTATAGATTTGATGCGATATTGCAGAACATACAAAGTGATTTTTTTTCTACTGCGTATTTATGCAGGCATGCAAAATTCAAGATTGTTCCTGACTTAGTAAAGCTTTAAGATCATTTAAGATTCCTAGATACATAATCTCAGCTACTAGCATTCATGTACTGAAGTTATTTTCGTGCTTTATCTTTCAAGAAACATGGCTCAAACAGTACACAATAATTGGATGAATAATTAGATACAGCAAAACCCAATATGATGTAAAAAAGCAGTTGGTTGTTGGGTTGCAGGGTTTTTTTTTTGTCTGCCTGTATATTTACATAATGTTTTTTATCAAAATATTTTCACTCCACAAAACCTACCTCAGTAACAAAACCAACATTTACAAAATACCTCACAATGGAGTGAGAAGTAAGGACTGCGAAAAGGACAGGTATCTGAAAATCATTATCATTCAATAATAAGCTGAGTTTTAGCAGAGATAAAAGCCACATGCCTACTTATTTTTTACCTTGCTGAAATTTGGGCAGAGCAGGTATTTTTGTACTGCACAGGCAGAGGGAGACAAAAGTACAAATGATGCCAGCATGCATAATGGCTTAACATTTCAAAGTGAAAATTCAAGGAAACATTTGGCACATATTCAATTGCCTTTTGTGAGAAATTCAGCCACCCTAACATCATGTCATTGATAACACAGCTAAATAACTCCATTACAGTCTCAACCACTTAGTTGTGAACATATAGGATTTTTTCCTATGTCACTCAAAGATTTAAAAAGCAATCAGGATTTGAAATATCAATGGTGTAACTTCTATTAAAACACCTACTGAATTGAAGTAATGGCAAAGTACTTTTTAGCCAAGTATTTACAATTGCAACTACTAGTAAATCAATTCAAGACAGTTCAGAAGAGACTTTCTTATATATAACGTTTGAACATACAATATTCCTTTAAAATTTGTTTTCTGAAGTTAAATATGTAAGTAGGTCAGGCAAGGTTGAAAAGGAGGATACATCTGTTTGCTGGTTCTTGCAATGTACTCTTAGTAGTTAGCTCTCTAAAAGGCTAGATGAAGAGCAATTAAAAATTCATACACTTTAATCCTTACCACCCTCTGAGCAAAGATTTTTAGCAGCAAACATGGAGAACATTTCACCGCCTGGATGACTGTCAAGGAATAAAACAACTGAGCTGAAATCCCATTGCAGGTAAAGTAGAAACTGATTTGAAGTAATGGTAGTAGAGAATACAAAGTTGTTACTACTTGTACAATGCAGCACAGATCAGAGAGCACTCTCCTTTATCCACAAAAGAGGGTAGCAGACCTTTTACTGCTACATTAGTACATTACTGCTATACTTTCATAAATACCAACCTCTTTCACAAATCTTGCTGTATAAAGAGAAAAAAACACAGATCTTTTAAGGCTTGACATATATTCCTGCTATGCTCAGCATTTTCAATCGTTAATGAAAAGACTTAATTTATTTATATATCCTTTCTATCAATTAATCATGTAAATTCTTCATGACACTAGTATTTCACGAAACTGCTAGTAAATACTAACTCAGGTAATATGAGAACAGTAGACAATTCTTTATCTATGAAAGTAAATTCCATTTTAAAGGTTGAAGAAGTACTGAACTGATGTATTTTTCTCTTTTTAATATTTATTCAATGCTTCTAGCCAACAATAAATGCTAAATTCAGGATATCTTCTTTGCTCTACCACAAACAACCATTAGTTCACCTACTTTGACAACAAAAAATCTTTGCATCATGCATCCCTTTACAAAAAAGATAAACAACAGTGTGACATCAAACCAGTGGAAAAAACTCCTTATATCTGAGAAAGGCCAATTCTGCTTAAATGTTTCATTCATGTCTCAATATCACTTTTCTCCACTTAAGGAAAACAATCAGTAGATGTTGTTTTATAGCTAAATCCTAAAGGAACAATATACTAGACATGGCTATTAAAATTAATGGTTAAAACCTTCAGAAAGGTTCCAAATATGCTTATGTAAATGGATTGAGGGGAAAAAAAATTTAAAAAAACCCCAAACCGAACAAGCCCTTCAACCTTTGAACTGGGTTTTATTAGATCTGCAGAAATTAAAGCCATAATTTTCTGTTCCCTGAATGACCACACTGTACTGCACACTAAACACGTTAGTGTAAGTTCTTACCTAATTAGAAAATATGCTGAAGTAAGCAGGTGCTATATAACACAAAACAAATATTGATCTTGATTGTCAAATCTACTGCAATATCTAACCACAGTGCTCTATGATTTAACTTTGTATAATTACCTTCACAAAAAACTGTCATATAATGCAGGCCCACCCCACATTTATTTCTGTGTTAGAAGAAAATGGTCACATAAAACTCCTGGCCAGATTTTATATCTGATGTCCTAGCTGTGTGTTTGTATCGAGGTTTGATGCTCAGCCAATTATTCAGTATAAGAGCATTCTCTTCAAGAGGATAAAAGCTGATAAAATGTCCACAGAATCTTGCAAAATGCCATTACAAGGGTCTCATAAATGTAACATTTCTTGCACAGGTTTAGGATTTACACCTTGTGTTGTCCTTTTATACAAGCAAACATGCACAAAAACACTGTAATAACCTCTTGAAATCAGATAATATTCCAACAGCTCAGTTTCACTGACAGAAGGGGCCTGGGCACAAGCCAAGAGGCCCAGGTGCACTGTGTCATGCCAGTATTTAATGCAGCCTAATATCAGATAGATGCTACTGAGAGAAAATACTCAGAATAAAGTACAGATAATAGCACGGACAACCACTCATTGCTAAATTACTTCTGCTCATCGTGCTGTGAGCTTTGTATTATTTTTTTTCGTCAAGTGGCAGGAATCATAGGGAGAAGTGGCTCAAAACTCCCTTCTTGTAACCCTAGATAAGGATCTATAATATTAGGCTTTCATATGATAATGGCAAATGATGCCCTTCTTTGAAAAATTTCAGACTGGTAATGAAAGTCCTAATCAGATTGTTGTTGCAGAGAACCAGGAGGTGGGGAACGATGCCTTTCTTTCACCTCCCCCCCCTTAGCAAATTCAGTAAACTTGACAAGATGGGTTAAGTCTTGGAGAATTTACCTTACATGAATTTCCAACAAAGCCCGTCGGTTGTTTTATAAAACTGGAAGGCAGTGCTTTAATAAAAGCTGCACCACCTGAGGCATTTTCATTAAAGGCTCTCTCTAGACAACATCACAATGTTTGCATTATCCTCCTACACTCCCACGAGAATACAAGCACTACCTTTTCAGCAAGAGTTGATATTGTGTGTGAAGGCACGAGAGAAGATGATTAGATTTTCCTTTTACTCACAAAGTAACCGCTTGCAACAATGCTATGGTCAGGATTAAAATTCATTGATTTGCGTTGTCCACCGTTTGAATGGTAAAGTGTGTTTTTTTCAGGAAAAGATGCATTCTGAAGGTTTTAGTAGTCAGTCATGTGAGCGAAGATTTTAATCCTAACCACATATTATTCTCAATGACTGTACTATTTATGCTATCTGGGCTCTTAAATAATGACAGTAATTAGCCGATTAGGACACTATAGAAAACAGGTGCAAGGCTCTGAAGTGGAAGCATCAATGTACAGTATTAAGGAATTCTGGCATTTAAAATTATTAATCTGTTCAGTGTGTTTAGCAACAGGAAACACAAATCACTGGATTCTGAAACATAATGCTATCTCTGTGGAAAAATTTCACACACACACTGAATGCGTATTTAGAAAGGTTCACTGGCATTTTCACCCGTTTCAGTGGACTCACCATCTGTGTATACTTCTCTGCGCAGATGTCCTGGCTGGTGTTTTTGCTTTTTGGCAGGTCGGACCTTCTGTATTACAACAGCACTCATGTTGCTGTCGGTAGATACGGGGCTGGTGGGTCTAGGACAGTGTGATGCATGAAAATGTCTACGGCCTGAAAATTGTTACAGAACAATAGCTATTATTTTTCTTATCTAAAATAAGACGTTTCATACTTTCCCTTTTTTTTCACATCAGAATGACTTCGCTATACAAAACTGGAAAATCTACTGTTGGAACACTAATAAAACTCGTACCCTTCCCATAATCACTTTTTGAGAGAGCTACAACTAAATCAAAGCATTTGTTATCCTATCAGTCTGCAGGCTGGCTTAGTTGCACAGAAATTATCCAACTGCTTGGAAGCTGGTAGCTCCCGGGAATGTGAACTCCATCAGCGGGCAAGCACAAGCAGGCTTCCCACCCAGCAACCTTCCAGAAACCACAAAATGTTTCACTTTCCAGCCAAGTTTCACCTCCCCTAAGCCTGGGTGGCACGAGGTCACCCCATGCCATAAGCAGAGTCTCACACACAGATATCCCCTCCACTGCTTTGAGTGAATTACCAGGAATGCATCGGGGATGTACAACTGGCATTTTTAGCACAGCTTATTTGCTGGTAAGATGTGTCACATTTTTAGGACATGCAGTCAGGTACTGGCAATAGCAGTATATAAAAATCACTGCATAATGTGAACTTGACTGCTGTAAAATTCGCTACCTGTGATAGTAACGGGAAGTAAAAAGACCTTTTCTAAATATATGAATTTACATACACACAGACACACGTTTTTATGAACTTGTATGTATAAAACGGATAAAATCCTGGCCCTATGGGTATGAATGGGAGTTTTGCCACCTACTTCAGTCAGGCAGGATTTCATCCAGAATTACTAAATTACCTCCCCTCTCACTCTTCATGATGAACAGCTGTGTTGAAATGAACAAAGGACTGTTAACTGGGAGAGGATATCAGAAATGGGAGGAAGGTTGCAAATCTGTGGAGTCAGGGTGGACGCAGTTGTGACAGAGTACCTCTTCTCCAGGTCTGGCAGTTTAATAGGATTGATTGGCAAAACATTCACGGATCTGCCTGAAACGTGCAGCCCATCCTGGGGTACTCTTATTTCTTAGCTGAACTATAACAATGTCCATTGGGCCTAGTCATGTTACTGATTACCTGTATATATTCAGTGTTACTAGTAACTAGTATGGTATAAAATATGAATTATTTTAAATATCGTATTTCCTATGTCCAGTGGTGATCCAGGAGAAAAAAAAGGAAGAAATGTATGCACAAGGCCTTGCTGCATGCATATGATCTATAATCTAAACTGCAACTAATAACAGATGTTTAAATTATGAAAGCAAAACAAAGCCAATTCCTCTCAATAATATAGCAGTAAGAGCTTGAGTAGCATTCTCCGTAAGATAACAACAAAATAAGAAGTGGAAAGAACTATTTTTTTTTTTTTTCTAATCCAGGGGAAATACAACTATAAAGGTTTACTATTTATTTGGACAATGCAATACAGTAGGATTAAACCTCTCACAAAGAGTGAATGAAAACACTGGGAATCTTAAACTAGGAAAAGGTTAGAACTCTGTAATCCTTTTTTCATCCTCATTCAGTTCTGGCTGAAAATCCAGCAGCAGAGTTAAGATTTGGCAACAATCAGAGACCAAAAAATAAGGAACTCCTTAGGACAAACACAGTAGGGCAGCAATCTATTTGAACTATTTTACCAAACTTATGTTTTACTCTTCCACTAGCGTGAATTGACTCCCCCTCCAGAATCTGTAAATGTTGTAAGAATGACAGTGTGCCAGTAGAGGTTGGGGACTGACCTGCTGGAGAGCAGCATAGGGGAAAGGGACCTGGGGGTTCTAGTGGACAGCAGGATGACCATGAGCCAGCAATGTGCCCTCATGGCCAATAAGGCCAATGGTATCCTGGGGTGTATTAGAAAGGGGGTGGCTAGTAGGTCGAGAGAGGTCCTCCTGCCCCTCTGCTCTGCCCTGGTGAGGCCACATCTGGAATATTGTGTCCAGTTCTGGGCCCCTCAGCTCAAGAGAGACAGGGAACTGCTTGAGAGAGTCCAGCACAGAGCCTCAAAGATGACGAAGGGAGTGGAACATCTCCCTTATGAGGAAAGGCTGAAGGAGCTGGGTCTCTTTAGCTTGGAGGAGAGGAGGCTGAGGGGTGACCTCATAAATGTTTATAAATACATCAAGGGGGAGTGTCAGGAGGACAGAGCCAGGCTCTTTTCAGCAGCGTTCAATGACAGGATAATGGGCAATGGGTACAAGCTGGAACACAGGAGGTTCCATAAGAATATTAGAAAAAACTTTTTCAGTATGAGGGTGACAGAGCACTGGAACAGGCTGCCCAGGGAGGTTGTGGAATCTCCTTCTCTGGAGACTTTCAAAACCCATCTGGATGTGTTCCTGTGTGACCTATTCTAGGCAATCCTGCTCTGGCAGGGGGGTTGAACTAGATCATCTGTCGAGATCCCTTCCATAGTATCGTTTGACTCTGTGATTCTATGACAGGAATTCAGGAAGCGGTTGCAGGTAAATATGTTTCACAAAAGCCTTTTTTTTTTTTTTCCTTTATTCTCCCACCAAACAGAGGACAAACTCACCTCCTGCTGCATCCTGCATTTGACGTCTGGCTACCTTCAGGCCAGCGTATTCCGCAGCTGCTGCGACAGCCTGTGCAAAAT